TTTGATCCTTGTTTGCGAAATTCTCGGTAGATTCATAATCTGCTAATTTTCAAGTTTTTTTAGCTTCTACTTATTATACCGAACCGTAATTTATGAAATATCTTTAATAACTACAGGGGGCTAGAACATCCTGTAGTTAATTTTTGATTATTGAATTATTAGCTATTCTAGTTATTTAAAAATTTTTTGTACTCCTTTTCTGTTTCCTTTAGAACTGGTTAAATTTGTGAAGAATTTTTAGTGTAAATGCTACATGACATGGTGCTACACTTTATTCGTTTAATTCCGTTAACTACTCTAGTGTTTCTCTTGGATAGTTGTTTTGTAGGTACTGACGTGCTGTTATAAACTTTTACCTTTAAATGTCCTTCATAGGTCCTTTCATTAAATGTTGACGTCAGGACGGAAGGAGCAGTGGGGATATAAAGCAGAGGATAGCACAGGGTCGAGTCACTTCAATAAAAATAAGTCACTTGTATGCTCGTGAACGGTTAATTTAGAAATTCGAAAAAGGTTGTTAAGGGTGTATGTTTGGAGCGGTGTACGGGTGCGAAACATGGACAGTGGACACGGCGGAAAAGAAAAGGTTAGAAGCGTTCGAAATGTGGTGTTATAGGCGAATAGTGAGGATACCGTGGATAGAGAAGGTTAGAAATTAAGAGATATTAGAGAGAATAAGAGAACAGAGGACTCTATGGAAGTCAATAAGAAATAGGCGGATAGGTTGATAGGACACCTTCTCAGACATGAAGGTCTAGTCAGATATTAGAGCTAGAAACAGAAGTTAGGAGGGGTAGAGGTAGACCTAGGTTAGATTGCTGTTAAGGATATGGGTTGCTCTAGATTTAGGGAAATGCGAAGATTAGCTCAGGATGGGAAAGAGTGGATGTGCGCCTTCAACAGTCTTAAGACTGACGACCTTATGATGATGATGACAAGAAGCTGGATTTCCGGATTCTAACTGCGTCTTATTGATGAATTCCCCATGACGGATCATGGTGGCGTCAGATGTGCTCGATGTCATAGGGATCTCATCAGTAAGACGTGCTTAGAATCCGGGAATCCAATTTCTTCAGACGACAGGTTGCAGAAGCCTAAAGTAACTTTTAAATGATTGTGGTTCATACAAATTCATTTTCTTTAGTCAACAATGTGCGAGGTTTATCATTGACAATATATAATGAGGGGCATACACTAGTGAATGCAAAAGAAGTTTGTCGCCCATCACTATTATGAATGATGAAGAGTGAAACACTTTATTTCACTATTTGCATACATTTTCAGTATCAGTTTTAAGAATGTTGAATGAGAAGACGTACAGGTAGAAATGCTGCATCTTCGTTTCCATTTTTCAAAAATATCCGACTAGACGTCATGTTTGGTGACAAAGTGCGTTGTCATGGGAGCTTTCGCTTTAGCCACTCGAGGAAGCGAATGGTGGCAATAATGTTTAAAAGAAATGATGATTCGTTTTGCAACAAGCCCAGTCGTGCACGAGCGCGAAATGTTTCGGTGCACGCCAATGGCCTGATATAAACCTCTTCCGTACGCTAGGTTGCTTCTAACAAAACTTGGCAGACGATATCCCGTGCTAGATTACTTAACCTTATATTCTCCGGGACGTCAGATCATCCATCACGAGCAAAGATAAATAATAAAGCGTAGCTCTAATCTAATGCAAGTAGTCTGTGTGTATATCACGGAGCCGTGCTTTTTCCATCGCCAGCCAAGAGATTGCTAACCGATCCTCTTGTTCTTCTGATAATCATTTCTGGATTCGCTTTGACGGCGTTCCGAGTACAGCACAATAGTGCAATTCAGTGGCGTGCACAGGTGTGCTCTCTCATTAATTAATAACTTAATTATGTGTCCCTCTTGACCAATACAAAAAAAAATGTAATTGCGCCAGATTACTGTACCAAAATTTCCGTAGCTACCCATTGAGCAAGTTTATAGGTACTTATGTGTGTATGATTTAATGTTAATGGCTGAAGAGGAACCACGTGATCTAATAGTTCGCCTTTGTTCCTTCATCATCATCATCACAATGTCGTCGATCCTAAGACTGCTTGGACATGCATGTATTTAAATACTTCTAAAAAGCCATTTTGCACATCTCTAGCTAATCTTCACTTTTCCCTAAAACTATAACATTCCATATCCTCAAAAGTAGTCCAATCTACCTATACCCCTCTCAACTCCTTTTAACTTTAGCCTGAATTTCTTTTAGTGACTTTTATGTTAATAAAAATGAAAAATTAATGTTGCTAAATAATTTATAAGACAAACAAGTGCTTTAGTCATATTTAATGTGAGAGGTCAGTTTATTTAAAGGAATTGGTTTTTTCTTATATGGATATTTCTCATTTTTTGTAAAAAGAAACTGTCTTCTACCTAAAACCCTTGTCACACTTGTATCATTCCATATGTCTGGTCGTAAGCCTCCAGAAATACTTAAACGTCTTAGAAGATGTTGAAGTTTGTCATTTCATTCCAACAGAAAATTTTTTATTGATTGCCTTTCCTTAAAACAAAATAAAAGGAAAATGTGTCATAATAATAATTGAGAAACAATTAGGTATTGTAAACGATTATTTTGTAGACGTTTTTCGTCCCTTAAGGAGGCGGTGAGGGTTGGAAAAGTAACTTTCCAAACAGTTTGTTCTGTACTGAATTGGAGATTGGTACATTTGATTATAAAATTAACAAAGTTTTACCATTCTTCTTACGATTACTGACTTAATGTTATCAAATAATCAGTAATAAGAAAATCATTTTGAGGGTATTGTATTGTATACAAGGCATAATCTACAATATATGTACACGTTGTATCGAATCCATTAAAATGCAGTTGATAGCAGGTGATTTGTTTTAAATTAATTAGTGAATAAATTTTTGCCGTCGACGTATGGAACAAAATTCTGACTAGCGGTTTTGGCCGGTTTTTCGCGTAAAATGTGGTTTGATGTATGACCGTTTTGAAATTTTAATGAAGTTCTGAACTAGGTTAACACAGGAAAGCTGCGAAATTGCAGGTATAACCAAATTTATTGTAAGGGATATTTCATTCTACAAACTTTGTTGTGTAAACTTGTCATTCGTTAGAGTAGAAATTGCTTGTTGGAAACTTCCGAATTTAACGAATATAAATAGGTTTTCGAAATGCAAAGATTAACTAATCGTAAAACAAACAATTTCTTGGAAAAAACTTTGTTCTTCAAAATATCCTGACAAATCTATGAATGACGTTCAGCATTAAATATGAAATTTTACATCGCTAAAACAAACTTAAATGTAAACTCGTAGGGACATTTATCAACGGATTTGTGTTGGGAAGTCAGTTTACTTTAGATTACAAAAATAAATTCACTTTTATAAATTGCGGTTCGTGCAGCCTCCTGATATAAAAAAAAGGGAAATCAAAGTTGTTAAATTATTAATAAAAATTATTAAAATAATATGAATAATATTTCGTCCTACGTACTTGTTTAAGGCCATAGACCTATCACAAGGGCTTGTCGATTAAGTTACATTATCTTACAATTACTATCTTAATGAATGGTATGATACATTTAACGTTAATTATCTAAGAATCACGCTCGTATAGTAGTTAAATAGTCTAAAATATTTAAGATACAAAGTTATTGCCTTTAATATGTATTTTAAATGGCTTTTATATTTATTATCTTCCTTGTTTCAGAGGACTATCAGCATNACTTTCATCAAGATCCTTATGGTGAAAAAAAAATTCATTTGGTGTAAACAGGGAGGACTTTTTTCTTTAGTTATTTGCAAGTATTTTATGAAATTTTCTTTACCGCATATAACTTTTAAACAACAAGAATTCATTTTGCTCAAAAATTAAGTTACATTATTACCTTTTCCTAAGCTTTCTCCAAATTCCAAAATTCTAGGATAATTACGCTAGATTTGACTGCTTTGGCCAAAAATCGAACATGTTAGTGGGCATCTCTCTCCCTCCCTATTACGTACTGATAGCAGAGAGAGAGAGAGAGAGAGAGCGAGAGGAAGAGGGAGCTGAAGAGATAGATTCGGTTAGTCCACCAATTGGTAAATACATCCAGCAGAAGTCCCTGGCCAAAAATTGAACGTGTTAGTGGACATCTCTCTCCCTCTTACTTACTGCTTGCAGGTCAGAAAGAGAGAAAGAGCTAACGGGATAGATTACATTAGTCTCAAATTGGTAAATACATCCAGTAGGAGACATTTTAAAAAGCTTCGGCTTCGAATTTGCCACTAGGGTATATTAAAATTGTGACATTGAGTGCCAGACTAAGCATTAACAATTTTACAGAAGGCAGTAGTAATTTACATTAAGTAGAATCGTAAACGTAATAACAATTTATTTCAAATTAACTAATTTCTAGGGTTTTATAGTTACCATTGCTTATTTTATTATTGTTGTATAAGACTTGAGATAAATTTGATTCCTTAAAATTTACTCTTAGTTCCTGTATATTTGTATAGTTATTTCAGTTGTTCTCCTCTTCATTTTTGCAGCAACATTACAAATTGTGGTGTGCTATTAGTCATGATTACTTTTCTCTCTTTTTAGTTGAACTGAATGGTAGGTAGGTAATAGTTGTTGTTATCATAAAGTGATAAAAATGAGTACCATTTTAGAAGCGCTAGAAACTTTAGAGAGGTATTGCAGTTGTGGAAGCGTTTACCCTTCCACACCTTTGAAGTTTAACATGATGCAATTTGTTACCGAATTGTTCTACTTTGGAAAGTGGTGAAGCTTGGTAGTTGTATAACGGCGGTTGAAGAGCCAGTTGTCAGAACGATATTTCCAACAAAGAATTGTGAACTTTACGCGCTTCCACCGAAAATGTAAGCCATCGAACTCGGCAAGCGATCTTGTCAGTACGTGTTTTTGTTTAAGCAAACCAATTATAAGACTGTTGAACTGAACAACGCGGTTATTAACATTGATATAAATGCAACGCAATACTACGTTCCAAAAAGTAAGCTTAATGTCAATTAAATTCGCGAATGGAGCATTTTAATTGTTTGAAATTAATTTCGTCCTCACATTTCTAACAGTGTGCATATAATGACAGTTGTACGTGAATATTTAAAGGCGATCGTTTTAAAATAATTCCAAGTGAATTTCTAGTTGGATAAACGTTCCTAATAGAAACTTCCTTTTGAAATTAAAGTTTTAATACAAGTGCATATACCATCGTCGTACGGTGTATTGTCTAATCTCGATTAATGCACGAGATGAGAACGCTATAAGTGTTTTTCGTGCAACTCAAGCAAGGGTTCTAACTAGCATCCTATTGTTTTTGTAAGCACAGTTACTAGCGCATCGTTCTCATACACATTTAAATACAACTTAACTGTCTACCGTCATTCAATTTAATATGAGTGCTTAAACTTTAAGTGAAGTTTTGTGCCTTTGCTAATACACCACCAACAGTTTCACATTTTTCACACGAACACTCCTGAATCCTCACAGAGATAATAGCCTAAATTTCCTTAAAACTAGAACAACCCACATCCTTAACTATTTACTAACAGTAATCTAATCTAGGCCTACCTGTGCCCCTCCTGACTCCTGTTTATGCCTCTAATATGTCTCTGGCTAGACCTTCATGCCTGAGAAGGTGTCCTAGCAACGTATCTCACCTGTTTCTTATAGACTTCCATAGAGTCCTCTGTTCTCCTATTCGTTCCAATATCTCTATCCACGGTATCCTCATCATTCGCCTGTAACACCACATTTCGAACGCTTCTAACTTTTAGTTTTAATGTTATGTTATAGATTAGTAGAAACGAATATTTCTACTAATGTTAGATCTAGAACAAATCGTAATAGGTAATATTCCTTTATCATATTTTTACCTGTCATGGATTAAAATTATCCTGTCCATTAATGAAGAAAGCCATTTAGCTGTTTGAATGTAGCGTGTATCATCTAAGGCCTTTTTTGTTATTGAAAGTCGACAAAAAGGCCCTTTATTCTTTCGCTGAATATAAACAATGATATGGTCCTGTGTATAAACAGCAATTTTAGCTGCGCCCTTTATTATCTCTACGTAGGGTGTTTCTCCCTAAACAGGGTAAGTAACGACTTGAGAACTTCTCTTCCGAGAACATGCTCGGATATTATAACTCAAGGGGTTGACTGGTCCAATAGGCAGTTTACTAAAAATGAAAAGGTTGTTCGCCCTTCCTCAAAAAATAATAGTACTTACACATTCAATAACATAACACATACGATAACTAATAAGATTGGTATTTTTCAGCAACTCGGTTAAAAAAAAACGCTATCAAAAAGCAGAGATGTGATTTATTTGAAATACTTGCATTTAAAATGCAAATACAATATAAAAAATTCCAACTTTTATCTTGCATTTAAATACTCTTTTGAGAAAAGCATTTTGTATTTTATTTAAAATACTTTTC